CCTGCCCTAAGAGGGGGCAGACAAGCTGCCCACTGCCCTCCAGCTTCATAACACATTTTCCACTCCCAGGCTGCCCACAAAGCAGCCGGCCCAGGCTTGCCAGCCCTGCTCTCCATGCAGCTGCCCTTTCAAGACCTTCACTGAGGAGTGATGGGTTCGGGCAGGGAGATACCCCTGAATCTGACCACCCCCTCTCACAGGAACAATTAAATATATGCCAAATTCAATAGCACAGGTCAATCGCTTTTGATACTACAAGAAATGCATTCCTCTTTCATAGTTAACTGATGAATCCTGAAATGATGGCTTGACAATAGCTGTCACTCTGAAAGTTCTTTTGATGTAAACCACACTGAATCCCCCCCAGAAATAAAAGTCTGCCACAAAAAAAAAAAAATTGTCTTCTTACTCTCAGATGAGCACAGAAACAAAGCTTGTTAGCTTCTATTTCCTCAAGCAACTGTAACTAAGGCACAAATCTCTTTTTATTTTTAAATGAAGTATATGTTTTATATTCAATGTACAAATAGTTTTATTACATCCTTTAATTCTGAAAATTGAGCATCATTTTTCTTGTCCAGTTCTTCAGTTTTACTATTTGCATTTCGCCTCCCCTAACCCCTTCCTTTCCACTTTTAATTGAAATGCAGTTTTGTCGCCAGGCTCAACCACAACTTTACTTGACAGGTCTACAGAGGCAGCTCCCACACAGGCCAGGAGACAGCATGCAGGGTGCTCTAAGTTCTGCGAACATGAACAGTTAGTAAGATGCATAAGAAATTAAGGATAGAAAGCCAGACAGGAGTACAAAAGAACTGAACAAATTCTATTGAACCGAAACTCTACACACCAGAAGATGGATGGATAGCTGTCAAGCTTTTCATAGGTATACAAAAAGCCATGGTTTTGCAAAGCATTAAAATAACAAACTAGATGTTTACAACAGTGAAAGGCAATATGGGTGAAAGCAAAAGTGTTCATTTGGAGGTACTTATCTAGCAATTAGCTTTGGGTAATTCCAACTTTTGCTAAGAGAAGCAGACAACATCCTTGCTGATAGCACTCAAGAGATGATCAATGGGCATGATCTACAGAAGGCCTTCCAAGTTGCTCACATTTTGTCCAAAGACACCAGAGCAGTGGAAGGAAACAAAGGGAAGGGTGATGCAGTCCAAGTAACAGAGTAGCAAAATTACCCATACAGATTCTGGGTAAAAGCAGGCAGTCATGGTTGAAGCCAGAAGCTGAACATGACCCAGCCACTTGCTCACTCCCTCCCTCCCCAGTGGGGTGGGGGAGAGAATCAGAAAAAAGTAAAAGCCATAGATTGAGATAAAGACAGTTTTATTAAACAGCAGTGTCCTGGTTTCAGCTGGGATAGCGTTAATTTTCTTCCTAGTAGCTGGCATAGTGCTGTGTTTTAGATTTAGTACAAGAAGAATATTGATAACACCCTGATGTTTTAGTTGTTGCTAAGCAGTGCTTACACTAGGCAAGGACTTTTCAGCTTCCCCTGCTCTGCCAGGGACACAAGAAGCTGGGAGGGAGCACAGCCAGGACAGCTGACCCCAACTGGCCAAAGGGCTGTTCCAGACCATAAGACATACTCAGGGGGAGCTGGCAGGGGAGGCAGCAATCGCTGCTTGGGCATTGGTTAGCAGGTGGTGAGCAACTGCATTGTGCATCACATGTTTTGTATATTCTTTATATTCTCTTACCATTATTATTCTTTTCCCCTGATGTTTAATAAAGCTGCCTTTATCTTAACCCACAGCTTTTACTTTTTTCTGATTCTCTCCCCCATCCCACTGGAGGTGGGGGAGAATGAGCAAGCGGCTGGGTGGTGTTCAGCTGCCTGCCGGGTTAAACCACAACAAGCAAAGGAAAAGAAAAATAATAATGCTAAAAGAACATACAAAACAAGTGATGTACAATGCAATTGCTCATCACCCACTGACTGATGCCCAGCCTGTCCCGAAGCAGTGATCGCTGCCCCCCAGTCAACTCCCCCCGGTTTCTATACTGAGCATGACACCATATGGTCTGGAACAGCCCTTTGGCCAGTTGGGGTCAGCTGTCCTGGCTGTGCCCCCTCCCAGCTTCTTGTGTCCCTGGCAGAGCAGGGGAAGCTGAAAAGTCCTTGCCTAGTGTAAGCACTGCTTAGCAACAACTAAAACATCAGTGTGTTATCAACATTCTTCTCGTACTAAATCCAAAACACAGCACCATGCCAGCTACTAGGAAGAAAATTAACTCTGTCCCAGACGAAACCAGGACACAGGGCAATATTGCACTTTACAGCCAGAAATGAGACTTCAGCAAAACAAAAGTCAGAGGAAGATGGACAGAGTATAAGGTATATTGCCTTCCTGTTCAAGCACTCTGGAGATAGTACACAGACCATAGCGTCAAGACTTAGACATAGCCTAGACGTGAAAGCCTGAGGGGAAAGAAGGGGCCATGCACAGAAGTCAATGATGATGCTGAGATATGGAACTGAGCAACAGTCCCAATATCACAGTGGCTCTGTACATAGGGAGTTTGCTATTTCTAACAGATGTCAGATGGATGAGTTATCTATTAAACCACCTAAGCTACCCACATGTATTCTACACACTCTCCTGTTCTTTCTATTCATATCAAAAGTATTGTATTTTCTTAGTTCCGCATTTCCTAGAAGCGAACGTGTTCTTCCACACATTATCACACTACATTCAGAGCTTTTTACATAGAGTTTTGCCCTTTCACGCTGAAAATGGGGTTGTTCTGGCCCTTATTTTCTGACAGGTGGAGGAATACAGAAAGTCAAAACATTAGCTCTAGCAGTGACAGATTAGATTCAGATAAATTGCTACAAAGTAAATCCCCATAACAGAAAGCAGCCCCTGTTGTTGACCAAGGCAAAAGCAGCCAAAAAGGTGGGAAATGCACAGAAAGAATGCACCAGACAACTACTGCTGGGTTGAAATGAGCAGTCAAGGGTAGACAGTAATCTTGCTTCTGACTGTATTGGGCACTCTGTAACATACTACTTCTTTTTCTTTTCCTCACACTTTAGTTCTACCACAGGAAATCTACACACTAAACAAGTGGCATGTTTGCAGCATTTAATCCTATTCACTCTGATCAATCCATCTGAGGATGATCTAAACTAATGACCATCCAAAGAGAAATTCCTCTCTTCTCTCACCCCATTTTCTAGGTTCTTGGCTCACACCTGCAAGCTCTTCCCCTTCCCTAACATTAACCACAGCTTTGGGGCTCACTGGACCTCATCATGACCAAGTTCAATCTACTAAGTGGATGGCAAACTAATCCAACAAAACCAGAATATTTTCTTTCCAGATTAGCGATTGGAAGTGGCTTGGCTACTACTGGTACCGCTAGCACCTGAACAAAGGAAGCAGAGAAACTACATAGCAAAGAGCTGGGAAAAGCAAGGCTTTTCATTTCAATGATGGTGGGCTCTCTTCACAGGACTTGCTGTCTCATGGGATAATTCAACTGAAAAAGTCAGAATCCCAGTCAATTCCACCTTCCTCCCAATGGCTTACTGATCCCTAGTCAGTACCAGCACTATTTGTCACTCCATTTTGTAGGGTTTCCCTACCATCTTAATGGTAGAGCTAGAGTTGCAGTTTCATCTCAGCGGCACATGGAACCATCAAACTTGCAAATCTGCTTTAAGCTTCACGGTTTGTAGTCACCAGCTGTTTCAGACTTACCATACTCTTTACACTACTGTAATCATTTCCCAGTACATATTTACAACTGCAAATGCCCTCTTCCCTAGCAATGAACTACAGAATAATCAAAAAGCTTCGGATGTAGGGATCTCAGTTTTAATTTAGGTACAAGCAAGTGACAAATGGCTGTAATGAACTAACAATTTGCCTACCTGAAATCCAGGCTTAGTACAGATTAAGCTCATTATTAATGCAATTTGATATACAATCTAATGAAACCAACATATATGTGGCAATATTAAATCCAGACATATGGAATGAACCAGTTCATGTAAAAACAGAGGTGTGTTCATATACCATTGAGTGGTTAAAATAGCCATTAACACTCATTCAACACTCCCATTTCACATTAGCAATAAGTAAAGCAACTATAGAGGGCCTCATTTGACCTTAATTGTTAAGGATGTTATGTCAACATTTGTATAATCAAGCTAGTGCTCTGCTCTGACATATTAAGATAAAAGCTAGAAGTACCTCAAATAATGAGATCCTTACTTGTAATTACCCAGTGCCTTTAGGCAGCAATTACAATTAAAAAGACTGCAAAAGAAGTCTCCTTGACCTCCAGTTATTTCAATACTTGTGAGAACCAAGAAAAGGGCAGGGTTTAGAGCAAGTGATACCCATTCAATTCCTTATAGATGTAACTTATGCATGCAGTCCTTTTTTATGCTCTTTATGGTCCTACATCAACGCAACTTTATGAATCTGGAGTGATGAAAGAATACAGAAATTTAATTTGTAGTTAGTTTACAAATTAAACACAGCTTAAAAAAAAAGTATTACTCCACCCTACAGTTTTATGTATTTCTTTAAGAAGTTCCCTTCTACTAATACCTTTTTTTGGATTCTACATGATTATTTTTCAAAGAGAAAAAAGTGAAGTCAACTGCTTTAAAGGCAATGTTAGTCTTATAAGATGTTTTCACGTGTATGTGTATATATTTGCTTTTAACAACTGAGAATGCATTTTTCTGTTATACACACAGTCTTCCCCCATCCCACTCCTAAAAAGAACGCTTTATATCTTAATTGCACCAACATAATTATTAGATCTCTGATCTTCCCTTACTGATGCGTATCAGGAATCCCATACAGTTCCTTTCTATCTCCAGAGAAAGAGTTACATTTCTAATACACAAGGAGAATACTCTATTTTACTACAGGTATTCTCAGCTTTAACATAAGATGCTTCATATAATATTAACGTAACACACCATTAATCTAACTACATTCATTCAGATGTAAACTTACCTCTAAATATATCGATGGTGGGTTATGCTCTCCCCCAAATTTGTCTAGCAGTGCCTCTATATGTTCTTGCGTTAATTTAATCATCTGTTTGATATTCCACACCTAAAACAGAAAATAAAAAATTATCATCAAAAGGAGCCTAGAGAATCCATCCTAAACCAAACAAATTACATTTTCTTGATATTTAATAACAGAATTCCATAATAATATATTAGAATTATCAGTAAAACAGTGAACAAAGCTAGCCTGTTCATCCACTGTCAGTAAGACAGCTTGTTTCTGAGAGAAATGGAGAAAAATTAAATTTGGTTTCAAAATTCAGAAACCACAGAATAAACAACTTTTAAAAACAGTTTATTTTTCATGTTTATCAAAACCATATTAAGTATTTTCCTTGCAAGACTTTGCAACCCAATTTCTGCAGTACTACAAAGTTTAGTTTAGGAGTTAGTATATCAAACCTCAAGTAATTTGTGTTAACAACATTCACAAAACCTAGACCTCGTGTTCCATTTGCATGGGAATAGGATGTCTTGATATTAAAGAGCACCTTCTATACCCTGCCCAGGACCATGTCCAGATGGCTTCTGAATATGTCCAAGTATGGAGACTCCACAGCCTCCCCGGGCAACCTGTGGAAGTGCTCAGTCACCCTCACAGTAAAAAAGTGCTTTCTGATGCTCAGAAGGAACCTCCTGTGTTTCAGTTTGTGCTCATTGCCTCTGGTCCTGTCACTGGGCACCACTGAAAAGAGCCTGGCTCCATCTTCCTTTCACCAACCCTTAATCATCTCTGTGGCCCTACAGAGGACTCTCTCCAGTATGGCCATGTCTCTCTCATACTGGGGAGCTCAGAACTGGACGCAGCACTTCAGGTGTGGTCTCACTAGTGCTGAGTAGAATGAATCCCTGTCAGATGAGTTTCCAAATACTTTTTTTGAGGATTGATAATTAATCCTTGGCCATATGGTATTTTCTATTTTGTGCCATAACCACAACCTTGCTTCTCTCTTCTCTTAAAGTAAAGACACAGAATAACAAATACAACTGAGCAACAGCAATATGCACAACAGAAGCATGTTATTTAGGACATGGTGGCAACAGAATCAAACAGCCCCTAAAGAGGGCAGAAATCTTCCTGCTAAGTTAATATCACGATAAGAGCAAAAACTGAGTGTCTAATGAATAAAATAGAAAAAATTTGAAACTTATTGCCAGACTATGGCAAAAATGTCTTCACCTGAAGAAGCTGAAGTTAAAAGTGTAGCAGAAGATGACATTGCTCAGAGGAGCTGAAAACAGTGCCCTGAATTCCCTACTATACATCTGTGCACTAAAGCCAGAGCCTTTCCACAAGTGAATCTTACAAGCAAATTTAATATGGGTTTCTATCATCTTAGAAAAGCTGTTCACACAGTCAAAAGTATGCTGAAGGCAGAAGGAAATTTATCAAAGTCAACCATAGCAACAAATCATTACTTGTTGCTCACAGAAATGAAAAACCTATTTCATGTGCCATATTCATCAAAAGTCTTCTGACAAGCTGAAAAAACTTTCACAAATCTAGTATTGACTAGCACATTCTATCCCTAATCAAGTACACAGAAGAACATGTATGCCATGGCAAATCTCCAAGGTTCACAATTTCCCTTCAAGTGGTAACTTCTACTTATTTTTACGTATAGAAAACTTAGCTTCTGGCTTCCGGTACCAGTGAATATGCTTATACAGTTGGTTTTTTTTGTGGTCCAGAGTATCCCTTACCTAGCTAGCTCCTTGACAATCAACCTCAGTGCAAGTGTATCACATCCTACCACACAGGATCTATGACTACTTCAATTCAATTGAAGGAACTCGAGCCTTTTCCTAACTGGAATTCGGAACTGGTGCTCTGTGCAAGTGACCTCATGCGACTCAAGAAAGTCTGCTTCTGCTCACTACGGCACCCCCAGCTGAGGCGGACCTCACAAAAAATACACCATACCTGTTGCTCTTAAACAGCTAGCAGGGCCAGCAACTTCAGCCTGGCTTTTCTACTCACACACTTACTTGTTCAGATAACTCATCTCAGCTGTTTACATCACGTGTACCAGCTCAGTCTTACAGACATTGAGCCTAGACATATCCCCATAATTTCCATGGAAAAAGCCCTGAAACACTAGGTTCTTCAGAATTAAATCTCTTGAGTTCAGAAGCACTCACAGACGTATGGGTTTCCTTCAACTGTCCACATAAAACTTAAGCATACTAAAATCCTAGGCAATTTTTATAAGTGTCTCATTCCCCATAAGCATGTACATTCCAGGACAGCAGCAAAGTACCACCTAACAACAGAGACAGCAAAACCATGAAATACAGAATCCTTTTAGCAATCAGTTCTGGACCAAAGAGCTTGTTCCTAGACAACAGAACAAACCCAAATTTTTCAAGCTAAATGCATACACACTAATACCACTCCCTCCTCGAGATCTCACAGTGATCCCTTTATCCACACTTTTTTCACACTTTTTCTAGAAGTAAAAGAAAACTGCAGAAGCCTGCTGGTCATTAAGAAAGAACAGAACTTTTTTTTTCTTCACTCTTATGAGCACTCCACTACGCTTATGAAACTCCACGCCTGTAGGAAAACATAAAACCACAACTGCCAAGTATCTTGCAGAAATACAAAAATCGATGCCAGCCTAAGAGACAGTTGCTAGAAGTCTTAATGTATTCTGAAGTATATCTGCAACGCACCTAGTACTGTCCACAGGCAAGTCCAGTCCCTACCCACAGGAAGCAGCACAGATATTTGAGGCACACTGCTTCATTGTAGTTCCATGAAAAAGTAATGAATCCTTTACAGCTTGGATAACCTTATCATTTTTCCAAAAAAAGCCTCAAATAAATTTTTCTGTCCTATCTGGTGGCGTTAGGTTAAGGTTATTCTCTATCACAAGAGATTAGATTTGATTCTGCTTTTAGTGCTGCTGACACAAGGAAGCTGACGCAGGCTAACATGGACACAGGCAGCCAGAAGACTGGAAAAATTCCAGACATACTGGAATATATCAACTTGTATCTGCCTATTGCAGATAATTGTGCATTAATTTTGCAAATAAGCACTCCCTTGCAATGTAATAAAGATGACGACCTATTTCAAGCCACAGGCAAGTCAAATACAGTGGAAGCCTAGATCTGTTCTATTCAGGGAAGACTATGGCTCCACAAATGCGAGGCTATAAACCACAAAGTTATTATTGCATCCTTTGCTGCTTGTCAAAATACACAGTGCCTGAGACAGCAAATTATCTTTTATACTTTTTGCACCTGGCGTCAGTACTCAAATCTTGCAGCACATCCCAACTCTAAGCTCTATGATTCACATCTGGTAGAAGACACCTGAGAGTTCAAATCTATTCTGTAAAGGAAAAAAACAAAACATAAAAATCCATTATTTGTCCAGGTACAGTATGTCCTGCATTTGGATTATCACCCTCGGTGATGATGCAGAATACTTTGATAGAACCAACTAGGTAATTTAAAAAAAAAAAAAAAATTAAGGATTTGTTTTAGAAATTGTTTTATAAGGAGGACAAAATCATTGGTACTTATCCAATACTATTCTAATCAGTCCCTTAAGGCTTCTTCTTATAGAATCATTTCAATTGTTTGGTCCAGTGAGCTAGGATCCACTTTGTCAGAAAATGCTTTAGAAAGATGTCATATATGAGATTGTTCTTAGCTGGACTAAGGTCTTAATTAATTTGAAAGTGAAGTGTTAGAGTGAGGGAAGAGGATATATGAATGGGGTTAATAACTCAGCACCCCATCTCAGCATTTGCATGTCAAGATGCAGAGTTTGCGTTTTCCCCAGTTTCTTTGCCAAAAATCATTGTTACCTCTTCTTCACATTTTGATATCTTTTCCTGATACACTTTCCCCCTTTATCAGCCTTGAATGGTGCTTTCCTCTTTTTGCCTCTTACGAGGCTTGCTTTTCATTTTCTGCAGTCATCCACTGGAACATGCACATACAGTGGGAAGGACTGTCCTTTCCTTCTTCCTATGCTTCAGGTTCTAGCTCTTCTTCATCTCGCAGTGGAAGCTTCTCTCAACTCCTATATCCACTGTGTTAATTTTTGCATTTTTCCTACTGTCTGCTGGTTCTTCACACTTACCACATTTTCAACAGTGTAGTTAAACTTTTTATTAGAAAAAGTATGAAAAATACTAACAGCTGAAAAACTTTACCGAGTTGAAAATGAGCTTGCAATGGGTTTCACGTAAGAGTTTACACAAGCGATATGAACGTCAACACTGAAGCTGCCTTTCCTAATTTATCTTCCCCAACTTTTTATTAATGTTCATGAATCATTTTTACCGCAGCTCCTTTACAATGTCTGAGATACAAACTTTGACAGCATCTTTTCACTGTTGGCTAGCTAGACAGTTCAGAGTGAGTCCAGAAAGATTTACAATCACAGAATAGCAAATAAGTTATGGACAACAATAGCTACAGAAGCTCCTGCAGCCAAGAGAAAAAGGATCTGATATCTCATTTTCCACAAAAGTCTATGAACATATTTTTCTAGACTGATGAAGAATGGCCTTGATGAAGGTGTATAATAGGATGGTCAAGAAGGAAAATCCTCAAGAAGAGGTACAATATTTCTTGTACCATTCTGTCTGAAGACTGGGGTCATAACTAGATCAGCTAATACTGTAGCGTGATCAGCAGGCGTCTGCTGTAAGCACAGTAGTTAGTAAAACACAAAAAAGGCTTCAAGATTAAAACTATTTTGCATTTAAAGGGTAACATTTTTTAGGAAGAAAAGGCCAATTCTTAACATCCCCCAATAAGCAGTAATGAGGGTTTTCAACTGTGTCTGTTGTGACACTGCTCCCGTTAAGCAAAAAAACCCCACCAAAACCAAACACCCAACCACCCCCTCCCTACACCCAAAAACTAGGAAACATCTGACCAACTTAATGCTCAAGTATCAGAGTATCATCTCTGAGAAGTTAGCAGCAGAAACTATTGAAAAAATTAGTGGAAGACTGCAATTCCAAGACAAACACATTCAATAAAGACTTGCTTTCTTTACCACCACACAAAATTCTG